TATATATATATATTGGTTTTCTGTGTGTTTGTATGTGGGTGTGCATACATGTTCGAAAACTCTATACGAGCGTTTATGCGTATGTAGATATAAATATGTGAAGCCATGAACTCATTTTTTTTCAGCGAGTAACCACTCTGTGCTAGTAAGATATCTTCGCGATCGAAAAGTGTGTGTGGGTTATGGTAGTGGTGTTCCGTACCTCAGGACAGCGACTTCGACTCCTGAAAACGGATACATACTGTCCATACAGATGACAGAGAGAGAATTTATTAATAAGTGGCTACACTTTACAGATACGCCACGGTATTTGCATCGTATACCACTGGCCACTGTAAAAAAAAAACATGTATTGTGTTCAGCGCAGACAAAAATAGAATCCTAAGCTCGTGCTCTGTTTGCATCTCACATACGTAAGTGGCGATAGCTTGCAGCTGAACTTCAGCGTATGTGGTGCCGTTATTGTGGGAAACAGCTGCTATCTGCAGCTCACGGTACTCCGCGTCAGTCATGTTCATAGGACACGCCATTTTACTGAACTGATCAGCTCGCTACTGACTCGCGCCTGTATAACAAAAAATATTATTCATTTGTATATTTATCCAAAAAGCGAGACCTAAAAATACAAACACTTCTGAAAGTTGAACAATTTTGTGAAAGTGACTGTGCAGACGCAGTCACAGTGTTGTTTGATCTAATTATACAGACAGATGACTACACCAGTTTTACAGGGGTCCCCAAAACAAAAAAACTTAAAAAAATCAATGACCAAATACAAATCCGACCAATTGTATGTATTTAAAATGATGGTACTATTCCACATACAAAAGACGCGGCAAACCTGTAGAAACACTTGACACACATTCCAATAGCACTGCACACGCATCAACACGCATATCATACGCATCAATCGTATCTAAAGTATGCGCAGACAGTATAATAACTATGTAGATAAAGATGGCGATTAATGCGTCGGCTTTGACACGTGCACAGAACTTCCGATCAGGCTATCTCCAATCTCTGGGGGTTACTAGCGTACAAGTGAAGGATTCGTTGGAGCTGATACTATCGCATGATACTATCGGTATGTTCTTGACAATCGTCTGCATTGCCACGCTACACGCTAAGCAGAAAATTTCTTATCATATATGAGTATATGTGTATTTGAATCGTTTACGCTCATGGGCGTGAGACTGAAAAGACAAAGTTGAGAACTATTTTGGTGCTCCGGACTTGCGTGCACGGCTTTTGGCTGTATACTAGTTTGGAGCTAGATTGTTTTCTGTTTATCTACTCTTAGGATTGACGCTGCTGTTTTGTACAACAAGTAGTGGGTAGATATAAATGAGCGGTATATCTTGGGACCAAATGTCGCACAGCTGATTATGAGTTCTATGTCACCTTTAGCTGCACTCGTTTGTCGAGAACCGGGTTTGTGCTTGAAATAACACAGCGGATAGTGTTGAATGAAGGCATAAGAAGGTTCGTATAGTGCACTCGTGAGACTCAGATTACGTTCGGGTCCCATTGATGGTAAATATCGCCCCCACTTTCAATGAGTCTGAAAAAGTCTCCCAGGCGTGTGGGTTGATATAGTCTTCTACCAGACGATGGTCTGTCACGCTGTCCCTATATCATCGCGAAAAAGCAAGGAGGCTTCATTTTCATTAGATATATCAGTAGGCCTCTTTGTTTACTATTTCCCTGGGAAGCTGAATCGCTGAAGAATACACAACCTTATATCTCAATTTCTATATATACAACGAGCACGTGGGCTATTTCATCAAATGAAGTGTCCTCCTTAGTGTACCAGCAATTCGAAACCTACATAGTTTTTTTATGCCTGACTTATTGCCAATCTATTAATTTCACGTGCGTCAAGCTAGTCCGATATGACATACCCTCACGTAGTGCACTGCAGTGGTTTTTCAATTACTCATATGTAGGCCGCTATTCGACCTTGCATAGATCAGTAATCTAAATCTCTCTATAGTTAACAGATAGTACAGCGAATGAAAATCATATAAATGCCTCCAAGCAACTATTACGGTGCTGTGCGCTGTTAGTAACAAATACGAACTACAGTAAGATCCGGGCATGGTATATCTTATGCGGAGATCTTAGCCGATTCTACATGCTTCCAGACCTCCAGACCGGATTGAGATTAAAATAATTGTACATATACGAAGTCTCCCATAAATTTGTTGCGGGTTTAGTTCGCAAAACAAGCCACATTATTTTGCACGCATATATGCCCAGTCTGAATCCTATAATCTCTCCGTCACGTATGTATTGCGCGTGCAGATCCAAGCCAGTTCTCCCTGTTGGTGCAGCAGTATGGTATCCCCAGTATCTACCGCATGCTCGTGTGGAAGCTTCTGCTGGATCTACTGCCGCACTGCAAGGTGGACTGGCAATTCTCCGAGTGTCAGCGCTACGAACAGTTTGAATCCATGCATCGCTTGGTTTGTATTCTAAATGGCCAACAACTGGGGTATGTTCCCCTAGTGTACGGTATAGTGCACTGTGTTACGCACTGTCTGAAAGTGGTGCACCACAACTCGCCTATAACATCACTGGGTATGGACAGGCGATGGCCATAGATTACAGATCACACACCTATTTTTATAGAGGATTTTTAATATGCTGCGTCCTTCTGTAATGACTCCAAAATGAAATCTATTTTCATTTAATGTGTTGGTAACCGTAACCAGTGGATACTTTCGCAGCGAGAGCTTTCTACAGCCGTCTCGCAAGTGTTAACTGACAAGCACTATTAACCCGTCTCATCTTTACAGTGCTCCCGGCGCCTCGACGGAGCTGACCCCTGCACTGCTGACAGCCATGTGTTTGCTCACAACCAAGAACGATGGCCGCCTCGGAGTGATTGTAAGTGATCCGGAATAAGACTTCGATGTAAACGATGAAGCAATTAGAAACGGTATCACCTCGATGTAGTGCGTTGATAAGGTGGCTTTTGTTATATTGTCAACCATGTGTTGCACCCACAACTACGAACAGCAGCCGACATCGTGTGATTGTTGCTACGATTATTGATTTGACTACAAAATACAATATTGTGTATTTCGACAGGATGTACCAATTTTCTGGCCACTGTATACCTGCCATGGCAGTCTGACTTTGAGCTGAGTATGATTTAATATATATCTCTCTCACACACACACACTTCCTCCTCTCTCTCTCTCTCTCTCATTCCAGTCCCGCCACACTGCAGAGCTAGAACATGCGACCTTGATAGCATCGAACTTCCTCGAGATATGCGACAGTGATGTTGACGCATACTGGCTATGTCTACGCTTCCTAACGATCAACGAGCTAATATTGCAGTCCAAAGAACGGCTGGTTTCCGCCGACGTCTACTTCATTCGCTTGCGTTCTCGGATCGATGAAGCTCTGCGCCCGCTCCTCGAAAGTTTGGCCTCTATCGTAAAGCATGGTATGCATATAAATGGTACACATTGGCTTCCGACATGCTCTTGTCAGTCATCGACCCATGTTCTGGCTCGTTCAGACTTCATTCCGGGGTGTTAAAGTGTAGTATTCGGCCCTTTTTTTTTGGTAGTAAATATGCCATGCACTTACTCTACTGTCACGTGTTGTCTCTGATGCCTCGCGTATGATGTTTGTAGCTTTTCCTACAGTCTATAGTTTTGTAACGAAATTTATCTATCTTCAATCATCTTTCATCTGTCCCCCATACACGATGAATTCGTATGCGCTTTTCGTTCTCCCATGTGTATGTTCCACTGCGCATTTCCATATACATATTCTTGTGTTTTCCACTGTCTTCTCAACACTATTTCAATACGCTCGTTGTGCTCTACAGCTGATCCGCAGATACATGCTCGCCTGTTAGGACTGGAAGTGCGCTATGACGAATTTGCCGCAGGGTATGGTATTTTTATCAGCTCGTGCATGCAAAGAAGATATCCTAATCGAAACCTCAAGTAGACGTTGTGTGCGCAAGGACGAATTACGTGACTTGATCGTGCCTATTTTGCACATACTATACTCTTATGTATACCATCTCATAGCAGTATGTACTTACTTCCGCTCACAGATGGTTACGGTGTAGATTCGCTGGCCTGTTTCCACCATTTGCGCTCGAGCGTATCTGGGACCGGCTTATCGCAGATAGAACCAACTCCATGTGCGTGTTCGTATCTGCATCAATCCTCATCAATGCCAGGTCATCCTTGTTGAGCAAGCGGACAAAAGTCGACGTTCTGGCTTTTCTTACCAAGGTAATTACGCAGGCTGTTTTTTATGTGGGTATTGCGCGTCAAAGAGCTCACTGTAGTTCAAATAGATAATGACAATCCGCTAAGGCTTAGTTCTGTTTTACTTATATTTGTCCAGTTGCCAGAATGTAGTATCGATCGAGTTCTCGAGAGGGCCGCTAGGATGCCGAGAAACCATATGACAGACCAGCCGACCAGCTGATAGGGCGGCTCGAAAGCAATCTATGTCCTCTTCGCGAAAGTGACTGGTATTGCTGTGAGAGAGCTGTGCAAAAAAATAGTAATAAAGATGAACAATTTTGACTTCAATTCTAGCCCCATAAACAACGTACTTTCAGGTAAATTAATCGATTTAACAACATTAGAGGATGATCGTATCGGGTATGAATCAGTTATATTTGTCTATAGTTTCTAGATGTCTGGTCCCACTTCACTGATACCCAAACATATACATGAATGTATATATATATATGTGTGTGTGTGTGTGTGTGTGTGTATGTGTGTGTGTGTGTTGTTATA